GTATCCATGGGAAAATCACGTGTCCACAGCATTTGGGTCAGATAGCTGAGGAAGACTTCAGTCGAATGATTCAGTCGAAAATTTCTGGTGAGTCAAATTTTGAGTTGGAGAACAGTTTAAGTTTTTCATAATGTAATTTACCAACTCAGATGAACTTTCATGCTGAAGACAGGTATACATGTACATCAAGACACCAGTATACATGTACAAATGAAAACATGTGAATGATAACCAGCATATGAGCTGTCCAAAAGAACTTTGTTGTTTTGTTTTTTTTTCCTTTTGTGCCTCCACCTTGCGGATTCTCTTTTTTTTTGCCTGTGTTGTTGTTCTTTGGTTGGTTGTTGGTTCAGTTTGGCTCGCCTCCCTCCCATGTGGCAGGATCTCAGTCTGTGGATCCAGGGTCGTCCTGAGGTGGAGGTCGTTGACCTGGTGCTCAAACTCAGGGAGAAAATGGTGAGTTGGGTCATGTTCCTCTATCTCCAAGCAGATGTTAAGCCTCGGTCACATCCCGCCGTACGTGCTTTTTGTCCGTACGTTTTTTGGGAGGCTACGTCTGTTACGTTTTTTCTGAAAACGTGGGAAAGGAGTGGTGTTGACCTACGTCACTCACACGTCACTCGCACGGTTTTGCAAGGTGTAAGAGTGTGGTCTGCACGTTACGTGGTCTGGCCGTGAGCGGTTGCGTGCATCGTACGTTGCGCATGTTGCTTACAACATATGATCTCTGTGCAATTGCAACTTTACCGTAAGGAGGCCGAACTCACACGTGCGTCTTTTGTACGGTATGTACGGGGCACGCGCGTGGCCCGTACTCGCACGCACGGGTGGTGAATCCGTAGACCGCACGTAGAAAAAGTTTTACTTTCCCTTAAAGTTCTACGGCGTGTATACGTGCTCCCAAATCCATAGAATTCCGTACGGAGGCGGTACTCACCACGCACGGATGCCCTGTGTTTGCCCACGTTTTTGCAGGTAGACAGCACGCAGAAGCACGTACGGCGGGTTGTGACCGAAGCTTTAGGAGAAAAACGGTAACATTTTCCGACAGCTAGTTCTCTCTGCTGGGATGGCTGTCAGAAAATATTACAGTCCTTACTCTAACATCTGTATGAAGGTCAGCATTTACTGTTCTTGTACAATTATACAATTGTACAAGGACTGGTGCTTCTCAGTGCTTTTATCATTGTATATTCTCACACAACGAAACTTCATAAGTGTACATGCCTCCAGCTGTGAGACAGTCAAACTTGTCTAAGCTGACCACCCAGGGGACCAAGAAAACATGGTTTTCTCAGACATGTGGTCTCCTCATACAAAAAGCATGGCAAGCAGCAAAATTTCCACCTATTTACCCTTGACTACTCCATTCATCCAAAGGGACCTAGCTGGTGCCATTTTACATTTCCCAAAGACTGCCATGCTGTCGTAATCAATGGCAAACTGGCCGATCCCCTCAAGATTTCTTGCTACTTAAAAAAGGTTTTCTGCCACATACCTAAATGGTTTATGTCCTTACTGCTTTATGCTAGTGGCCATTATGGCCAGGTAGTCGCTTATAGAGGTGGTCAAGTTTGACTTTTTACACGTGTAAATGGAGTTACAAGTGGCAGAGATTATATATGATACACCTCCTCCTTCCTTCCATCCTCCTGCAGAAGTTTGCAGCCTCCAACAGGGTGTGTGTGAAGGAGGAGGTTCTACAGCGACTCACACTGCACCTGGACGGAATCATCCGCGCCCTGCCTGAGGACCTGCGCTCCATCCTCAAGTCGTCCTAACAACAACTATCATCCTCATCTCAAGTCATCCTAACAACAACTACATCCTCACCCTGCCTGAGGACCTGCGCTCCATCCTCAAGTCATCCTAACAACAACTATCATCCTCATCCTCAAGTCATCCTAACAACAACTACATCCTCACCCTGCCTGAGGACCTGCGCTCCATCCTCAAGTCGTCCTAACAACAACACATCCCCAGCAACCACATCTAAACACCTTGTTTTTTAATTGTACAGAACTTAAAAACGATTTTAACTGAATGCACATGTTCATGTACAAAATGTATGTAATTGTCACTGGAGAATTCTTCTCTATATGTTAAGAAATACAACAAAAAGTCACCACATTATAATTAGAAACTGTTGGATTGTATTTCGTTTGTGAGCATCCTATTTGTAGTCATTAAATACATGTAAACACTGTTATTAGTATGACTTGATTGGGACATCAACTGTTGGTCAAGAAGCTACTCATCTCTGTCAGGAATGTAAATCAACTCTTCTTAAGGTACATGTATCTAATACAATTTTAGGCCAGCAAACTGGATATATTCTGAATAAGGCAATCTGTATGATATTGACACATACTGCCTCACATTAGCATCAGTATTTCATACATTGGGCATTTAAAACAGCACAGAAACAAGCCCAAGATGAGTCCTTTATTTTGCTGGGTGATACCAAAAAAATCAGGATAATACCAATAACCATTTTCTGTCACAGTTGGGATACTGTTTTTCAACTTAGTTTGTAGATAAGTGAGTGGAATATTGACTTTTAAGAATACCTTTGAAGAATAAAATTGTATATCTAGTTTCAGGTATCGTTGGATAACAACATGTGCCTCTAACCTCCACATTTCAAAGCTATGTACATGTATGAGAGATCTCCTTGTGAAATAACTTAAAAGCTTCCAAAAATCGGGTTAAACAGTTTCTTTCTTGACATTGAAAAATACATATTGCTGTTTCATGATATCTGAATTCACTTTTGTATCAAATTTACTTATTCACAGTTTTCAAATTCCAATGATCTTGCCTCATGTACATGTGTATGAAACCAGTTTTCCTACTGTACATTTTATGTTCACGAAGGTGCATGTTACATGTATATAAAGAAGTGACTGTTAATGTAATGGCTTTCAAACACATCACTAAAATGTACGATCCTGCATGTAACTGGTTTATTGATTGATGTCTAGTAACAAAACAAATTGTATTTTGTAATTTTGGTAGAAATGGTCAAAATCTCATGTCAGCAAGGTGAGTTAACAATTATTTTACATTTCCAGACTTTTTAGTTAATGTATGATATGTACATATAATATGATATGCCATATGTGGTCAAAAGGTTGCCAAGGAAGAGTCAAGGAAGGGACCAAACTGGTTACCTGTCAGTGCAGTACTTTAATTGTAACACTGTTCACAGTACATATATCATCTCTTTCAAACTTCCACTTTCAGCTCAATATATGTCATTTTGAAAAGTATTCAACATACATTGTAAGTAACCCTTTCAACTTTTGAAGAGGTGCCCCTTTCATTTTCAATGGTAAAATGTAAAAATTGATTTTAGAAAGCTCATTTTAATTTAAAAAATGATGACTTGGTTTTGGTAACGTCATTTGTGCTTAGCTGCCCAGGTGGCCTGTATGGAACACTCCAACTTGTTAACACTGAAGCTGACAATATTGGATGTTTTGTTTTATGTGTTTGAGACGTACATGTAAGCGGGGTCATCTTGAGACATCTTTGATTGTTGCTGGAACAAAATGTGAGAAAGTTTTAAATGAAGTGTGGTTGTTACGTACATGTACATGTATGTCTCAGTGTTTGCAAGCCTGATGCTGGTGCATGTATTAGCGCTAAGGTCTCCACTGCAATGGTTTTAATTTTCGTTTCAGAACTGACTTCGCAGTGATGTGCTAGTTGCACATTGGGATTGTTACTCAAGCAAGTGGATAGATTTTAAAAACTGTCAGACGCTTCAAGTAGCATCCACTACTTTTCGCCAGTGTCTATCCAGTTGCTTGAGTAACAGTTCCCTGGTATATCTCATTATTGGGCTGTCTAGTTGATGTGTAAGCGGGATCAGAGTTAACTTTAATGTTTTTTATTTTGTTATATGATCAGTAATGCTGGAGAAACATTAATATTTAAAAAATAGTACAATATATAACCAGTGTTATGGCTATTAGTAGTCCAAAAGGGCACTAACAAAATCTGTTGCCTCAATTGTTTTACATCACTGAGACATTATTTGACTTCATTCCAGCAATCACCTCATCCCACCAGTTTATGTCACCGTCCCTGTATCTTCTTAGGGTACTGAATTCAATAAATGAAAATTTTGGAAACTTAACTTAACTTTGGTCAATCTTATCTCTGCCACACCAATTTAATTTGTTGCTTCTCGGATCGCCCGTCCATTTTTTCTGATTTGCAAAAAAAAAAAAAAAAAATTAAATTAAATTAACTGCAAAATGCTCAATGAAAGACATATTTTGGCCTTAATGGTTGAAGAAAGTCATTTTCTTCCTAGTTCTTAAAGTTTTTCAATGTAACAATGCGATTATAAACCAGCCTGGTATGTTGACTTCATGGCTCATATTGTAACATTTCCGGCTATCATGGGGTGCCATGGCCTGTTTTCTTTTTTATTTCGCCCTGTCGCTTCATATTTTTTCAGAACAAATCCGAGAAACAACAAATTAAATTGGTGTGGCCTTACCTTTGACAAGAAGGTTTGGTTTTCATTTGTGCCATGGATGAGCGACTGTGGTCTGGGTCTGTTTGTATGTCAACAGCATAACTTGAAAAGCTGTGGATGGATCTTTAAAACAATATTTGGTAGATGAGTAGTGGTGGAAAGGAAGGAGGGTCAATGTTGAAAATGGTTCGCCTGGCGTTTTCCTACTGTACTGCAGCAGGCTTTGCATGTAACAGGTATGTGTATTTTGTATGTGTATAAGCCAAGAAAATATGGATGGATTATGATATTTAGTAGGCAAGTGGTGATTGTGAAAATGAAGGATAAGTTAGATAATGCTTCAACTGGCATTTCCCAAGGTACCCCAGTGGAAGCTGTATGTGTTCTGTGTGTGAACAAAATGCAAATGCACGAAATTGCACGGATAGTTTCAGTCAAATTTACAATTTAATGTAAAAAGTAACTGTAGCCTTTGATACCTTCAACATATTTGCCCCACAACAAACATAATTGAATGCTATGAATGTGCATGATGTCTCTCAAACTACGTTTGATATGAACTAAACAGTGAAATTTTAAACGTTTACATTCTAACAAGGACACTATACAGATATAATTATACTAGTGACATTGCCCACAAGATTAAAAAAATTGATCATGACATTGACAAGAAAGAGGAGGTTGTTTATAATATAAATACGTTTTTAAACTTAAAAGTTTCTCAATGTTGGAAGTGCAAAAGTGTGAACAGCAAAACAATGTGTACAAAAAGCCTCCCCAACATCTGCTTGGAGCTTACTACCGAAACCAAGCCCAAGCCTTGAGCGAAACTAGCTCGGGTTGGTGGATTATCTGCCTGAGGGGGGCAGGAATTCTTTGGTTGTGTGTGACGCGTACAGTTTAACGACAAAAGTGGTTTAATTACAAATTTTTAGAAACATCTTTTATTTGGGATCAAAGTGGACGCAAACTTGGCTAGTTTTTTTCCATAGGCTTCCCCAATTACACACTCTTACACCCCCGCGTTAACAATCGGAACAGTCTGTCTGCAAATATATGAGTGGGGCGTAACTGTTAACGTTATAACGTTATTGGTCAAAGGTCAAGTCGGCGAGTCGTGTGACTGAAACTACTAACAGTAACAGTTTCATAGTCATTTGGTGGTGAGATACAGAACAGAGTTCGGGCACATAGAAAATTCGCTGAGCCTGTTACTGTCGCCGTGTGGTTGCTGTTGCTGCAAGCCTGTACAAATCGCCCGCATTGTCTGAAGGCCACATGTCATCAGGTATGTTTTTAATAGTTCACACAAACTCCATATTGATCCTCGCTTTTCGCCGGCTCCTTTTTGGGGTGGGCAGCTCCTTGAGCGCCGGACAAAGAGCTGGTGTTACTTACTCTCCAAGCAGAGGTTGTTGGGGAAAATTGTGACATTCTTTATCATGCGCCCGGTTTTTAGAGTAGAGTAGAGTAGAGTAGATGTCTTCGGCCACGGAGCTTAGGTTGGGGACAAAAACCTGGCCGTAGATGCACTCTACTCATGTCTTGGTAAAATATGCATCAGAAACGCCCTTCAACTTGTTTCAAGTGGCAACACAAAAACTAAACATGTAACGTTCCGTCCCTTTGCCTTCACCCAGGAGGTTATGTGTTAGGTACATCATTATGAGCTTTGAAAGCTTCTTGAGTACACCATATGTAACGGGGGGGTGCCCTAGGTTCGGACAGATTTTTTTACTGATCTTGTGCAAAAGTAACGTTTTGCCACGTGTGCATTTCCCATGATTCGTACGCGACCGCGTTGATTGCGTAAGCCTGGTTTTCAGCCTGGACTGGACTGATTGCGTTCGATACCGCCCTCTTCATGTGAGACAAGAAGTACACTCACAATTTTATCACCAAAGGAAAGCTAAAATATCATAGAATTCGGTTGTTATTACAAAAGTCGGGTTTACGGAAAACCCTGGGCTGTCTACCTTGCCAGGCTACCTTACCAGTCTACCTTGCCTGTCTAGGACGTCAGGCTACTGAACTCCGCCCCCTGGCGGAATGAATCAGAATTGCACCCACTACTTTGGCACATGCGTGTGCACAAACCTTAGGCCTGACTAATCGCGCGCCTGGCGGCCGGTCGCCCCGAAGTGGGTGGGGGGCATTAACCTCCGGCCGAGTTAACACAGCAAGAAATCTACTGAGGCGAATAGAAATATAAAACTGAACAAGATATTATATTTTATTTTAATTTTTTTTCTGGAGTTTTAATGAGCCAAGGGTAATCAACAGTAACAGGGAAACGGATCTCGTGGTTACGTTGAGAGCGCGCGGGTCGGAGTGTGTATTGTATCAGAACAGGGTGAACTTTTGTGCGGGGGCAGCATTGTCCGTGACGCACATCTGTAGATAATCTTAGGGACTGTACGATATTTACCGGGGGAGGAGGGCTGGTGCAAAAAGGGTCCGGAAAAATTTTTTTCCATGGCCTTCGAGCTCCCCCCGGCTCAATTTTTTTTCAATGGCCCTCCCCCCAACCCAAACAATTTTTCGGTAATTTTCCATGTAATTATCTCTTTCTCTTTCTCCTTCCGAAAATTCCAGAATACAGTACGCATCCTGATCGAAGTATGCACCCCCGATTTGGGGCTGGTGGGAGACAAATATTCATTCATGTCTGAAACGTACGCACGGCCGGTACCACTGTGGACATGTAGTTCCAAAAAAAAAATTCTTAAAAACTAGATTTATGCCGTGTACTACGTGATTGTATGGTAACGTAGCAGGAAACGCTTTGGCCTTGTTTTCACCGCTGGCCGCAGCCGACTTGCAAGACGTCGCCACCGCGAGGTAAGGCAAGTCCGGCGGAACGTACAGCTTTGGATCCCGGAGAGTGTTGGTGATCAAGCAAGCAATAGTCAATAAAGATTTGTGAAAAAAAGACAATATTTAAATATTGATTCTATCTGTAACGGGGGGTAGTTCAATGTTGATGCACAAGTACGTAGCTTTGTTGTTTTTAGAATACGAAATGCGCCGAACACTTCTTTAATACTGCCCGCCCGATCGACCCATGGAGAGCAACAATCATACAGGCGGAGAACTGGGCGGAGTATTTGGGTGTAGAGGTGCTACCGAATTTAAAATTTCACAACGAAACCAATTACACAACAACAAAAGACTACTGGCGATTCCGAACAGGAGAAAGTGAAAAGTTTGACTGTGTTTCAAGTACTAGTAATCTCGTTATGTGATAGATGTTTTTGCCACAAAATCAAAGGAATAAACACTCCAAGGGAATATTAATTTGTACTCCGTAAAACGTATAAGTACAGTCTGTACAGAGGAAAGAAAGACTTCCTTCTCGGCTCTGTCTTCTTCAGCTGTAGGTGTCGGCTCAAAGACTACATTTTAAGTTAACTCCACCCCTATCATTGTAGCTTGCCGAACAGTCGGGTCCCGTAGGAGTACATCTAGCTGGAATTTTCACCTGGTACTGGCTGGTATAGCCCGCTACAAAGTAATTTCCTGTTGCATTTATCAAGATTTAAAAATTTTTGTGATACGAAGTGAAACATGGATAACAATTTCTGTCAACTGACCCTTTGAAACGGCATGGGCATAATATTTGTTGAAGTTCAACTCAAGCCGGAAGTGCATTTAACTGACCATCAGTCGAGGCACGACTGTTGTTATCACGTTACGTTACGTTACGACGAACAAGAACATTCACGCGGCTTGCGGACCATTTCAAATATTACCACTCATAAAGCTCTCGCAATTGTATATTATGTACTTACGGGAGGTTATTCTTTCGGGAAATATGTTCATTTATTGAAGTTTAACTTTATTTCCACTCGTCAACATTCTTATCTAAACACGCAATGGACGATCAATGTCGCTCTCCGTGCTGATGTTCCGCTATATTCCTGGGTCGTCCACGGATTTGTCGGGGGAAACCTAAAATAAAGTACGCACCCGGACTTTGGCAACGGCCCGAGACACTTTTGGGATATTTAAAAATTTAAAAAGTGCGTACTATATTCTGGAATTTACGGTGTATTTCTTGTAATTCTGTACTACGCAACGCCATACATTTTACAAAACTTTTTCGGTGGCCCTCCCCCCTCCAGGCCGATTTTTTTTAGATGGCCCTCCCCTCGGTTAAAATATCTTTTCCATGGCCCTCCTCCCAGGCCAAAAAAAAATTCAATGGCCCTCCCCCCCCAGTGCACCAGCCCTCCCCCCGGTAAATATCGTACAGTCCCTAAGATTATCTACAGATGTGCGGCACGGACAATGCTGCCCCCACCCCACACAAAAGGTCAAAAGTTCACCCTGTTCTGATACAATACACACTCCGACCCGCGCGCTCTCAAAGTACTGGTAACCACGAGATCCGTTTCCCTGTTACTGTTGATTACCCTTGGCTCATTAAAACTCCAGAAAAAAAATTAAAATAAAATATAACATCTTGTTCAGTTTTATATTTCTATTCGCCTCAGTAGATTTCTTACTGTGTTAACTCGGCCGGAGGTTAATGCCCCCCACCCACTTCGGGGCGACCGGCCGCCAGGAGCGCGATTAGTCAGGCCTAAGGTTTGCACACGCATGTGCCAAAGTAGTGGGTGCAATTCTGATGCATTCCGCCAGGGGGCGCAACTGCTTGGAAGTCTTGCCATTCGTGAGGCTGTGGATGGGGGGAGTTCAGTAGCCTGACGTCCTAGACAGGCAAGGTAGACTGGTAAGGTAGCCTGGCAAGGTAGACAGCCCAGTGTTTTCCGTAAACCCTACAAAAGTCATCAAAACCTTACCACTCTGACAACTAGTGTAGAGCGCTGTGAGTTTGACTTGAGCAGTGAAAAGCATCCGATGTTAGGGCACCCCCCTTAAGAGTTTCAGATTTTTCAGGTTATAGCTTGGGGTGCCTCCTTATTACCTCTTCGGGAGGAGACATCCTTCCGCGGAAGGGTTTTGTGAGAGATTTAGATTGTCATGTTCGCAGCTGTTTCTCGCGCTTGGGTGGACGGATTCTTTTGAGACTCGGAATATGTAATTTGCTATTGGGCTGCAGATAATGCACATTCTTTTTATTGTGTATGTGTTTTCGGGCGTGAAAATGGTGCCTTTTGGTGGCCCCAAAACACCCCTTTGAGCATGAAAATGGTTGCGACCGTTGACCTTTGACGTGTTTAAGCTATTCTCGGTCTGGTCCACGTATATGACCCCTCACACAGAGGGGTGTCCGGTCTCGATAAATTCTTTGTTTAAAACCCTATATGAAAATATACAATAAAAAGCCCGGAGGTATAAAATCTCAGATTTTACTTGTTTGATATTTGTTAGGCAACTTAAGTGGTTGGGACAATAAAGGTCAAAATCAAGTTTGGCTCACAGATACATCTGGCTTACATTGGCCTACATTGACTTACATCTATTTTGTCATCAGTTTTTTTTTGTATCAAATAGTTCAAAACCAGTCATGCAATTTTTATTTCACATTGAACTTGGACCTTTCATTGTTGTATATATGATTAGCACGTAGTTGGTTAGCATATGAATAATTTGCATATTTGTGAAGTTACATGAGAACCTGATGAGACCTTTACCCACATTTTCATACAGAGAAATGTTGAAGAAATGGCTGGACGCTCAAGAGAGATCCCTGACAGCTGGGAGCAGCTGGATGAAGAGTTAGAGGACGTGCCTGATGAGGAGTCAGCTACAGACATGCCAGAGGAATCCTGGGACACCTCTGATGATGATAGCTATGAGGACCCAGAGGAGGAAGCAAGGCCTTCAACCCCCACAAGGACGTTATCTTCAGATGACAGCAATTCAGGTTAACCAGACTCTTTCAATAAACATGATGCCTTGTTCTTCTTCTTCTTCTCCTTGATGCCCAACATCATGGTAATGATGGCTCTGGCATGCTGGAGTGCGCTGGTGCCGTCAACGTTTGTACTCCCGCTCTGCACATTGTTTAGAGCCTTTAGAATTAAACTAATATATAAAACGAAGTCCAAGTCCATAATCCAATCTCATACACTACCAAAAATGCCAATCTTGTTTTTCTTCAGAGAAGAAAAATTTTCTTCCACTGAGCAAATTATTCTTCACCCAAGAAAAAATATATTGTCCATGAGACAAGAATTTCAAGAAACTGCATTTTAGCATATTTTTCTTGTGGTAAGACTTCTTTTCTTATGTATCTTGAACTAAATATCCGTAGAATATTATTCTTGCAGTAAGAATTTCTAAGTTTTCTAGAAAACCATTCTGTACACAAGAAAAGAATTCTTGAACTAAAATCTAACTCTTCTTGTAGCAAGAAAACCATTCTGTACACAAGAAAAGATTTCTTGAACTAATATTAACTCTTCTTCCAGCAAGAAAAATATTCTCCCCACAAGAAAAGATTTCTTGAACTAAGAGCTAACTGTTCTTGTAGCAAGAAAACCATTCTGCCCGCAAGATGAGATTTCTTGAACTAAGATCTAACTCTTCTTATGGCAAGAAAACCATTCTGTACACAAGAAAAGATTTCTTGAACTAAGAGCTAACTGTTCTTGTAGCAAGAAAACCATTCTCTCCACAAGAAAAGATATCTTGAACTATTATCTAGCTCTTCTTGTGGCAAGAAAACCGTTCTCCTCGCAAGGAAATATTTCTTGAACTATAATCTAACTGTTCTTGTAGCAAGAAAACCATTCTCTCCACAAGACTTCTTGAACTACGATCTAGCTGTACTTGTGGCAAGAAAACCATTCTGTACACAAGAAAAGATTTCTTGAACTAAGAGCTAACTGTTCTTGTAGCAAGAAAACCATTCTGCCCACAAGAAAAGAAATACAATGTATATAGTGCTACATAAATATAAAACAGACAATAATGTATAGCAACTAAATGTTATTTTGAAAAGCATTTGGACAGTATAGAGATGTTTATTATCACATTGATTTTTGTACAATGTATTTAATTAAAAATATAAAATCAGTCCATCAACATTCTTGGAATGGAAACAGTTTAACAGTAACTTTCAAAATATTATACGATGTAACTAACAAGCCAAATGATTATGATTTCAGAATACAGATCGTATCACATTCTGATCAGAAACATCTTCAGCAATTGCAGTTTTCGCATTATTATAGAATTGGCAAAGTCACACCCTTTGGACACCTGAAAACAACAGGAAAGACCTGTTAGTTTGCGGGTATTCGGACTTAGCTGCCCTGCCCGGTCCACCTAAACCGCTGCCCGGTCCGGTCCGAGGCCGCTAATGGGGGTTTTGCGTATCCCATGCGCCGGAGCAAGCATTTCGCTCCCGGCGCAAGGACCCGGCCATAATACAGTACCGTTCGCGTTATAGTTACCCTAAGGGCCGTTACTAACGCGTTTTTTTCCCCGTTAGTTTTCCGTTATTAACTGGTTACTTTTCCGAAAGTTTTCCGTTACTTTTCCGAAAGTAACGCGTTTCTTTTTCGTCAGACTTCTCCATTCATATGCAGGCGCGGTAACATCACAGGAATCGTGGGAGGAGTACTAATTTACCTCATGCGGGGCGGGAAATTACCGATACACACCGCTGGAACAGCGAAAGGAACGTTGATCTAGCCCGCATTTTACTATATAACAGTAACGTTTAAAACCGGCGCATCAATTAGATCGACATTTTCTTTTGTCAGTGTTGCCCATGCAAGCGTTTCTATAGTTTGTCAACTTTATTTTGCTGTTTTTCTCTGTTTGTTTACTTATTTTACCACCGAATATGCAATCCTAGATGATCTGAATTAACTGTTATAAATACCCCGGTCCGCCGTACATAATAGGCGGCGGGCCCGGCGTGAGGTAACGTTAGGGATGTGCAAAAACATCGCGAATAATTCCTATAACACTCGAAAAAAGGTAGCATATTTACACGTGCCCACAAACATTTTTATGGCTAATTATTGACCAGTTTTGGGGAGTTTTGTTATGTCCTTGGGGTTTTGTTTAGAGTGGGACAGAAAGCCGTGCCGCGACTCCGACTCCGTGCACTTCCGTGTTACATTACGTTGTACGTGACCAACAAAATTACGCCAAAGGCACCACAAATCCACATGTGCATATGTATTTTTCCCGAAAATTCTTTTGAGTACGCATTTCGTCACTATGATTTTGCTAATTAGTCGTAGAAATAAGGTAGAAACCAGCGTAAATGTGGCTATCTCCAGATCGCACTTCGCGCGGGGAAGGGCGCCCCAGCATGCAACGGGCTTCGTTCTAGCCAATCAGAGCGCAGGTCATCTAAGGTGAACCAATCAGAGCGTAGCTACTCGCATATTATAATGAGCATGCTGCTTCACATGCCGGCGGCCGGCCATGAGTGCGCGGGAAATGTGTTTTGCAACTATATTTTTACGGGGATTTTCTGACGTTTGACGCTGACTTTGGCACGATATGATCGCACTACCATGTACACGCTACCGTAGGCGGCAAATGAGTGGTCATTTTTATACAATCGTCGAGAAATTTTGGCGTTATGCACCCGGAAGTGAGCCGATCTCAGTTTGCGTTCCCTCGTATTTTTGACAGTTTCCCCCGTGTTTCCCTCCTCAAAATAAGAAACAAAACTACCGCTATTAAATAGAACCATGTATTACAATTATCATTTCAACATGATAGATCTATTATATATTCCTTTATTTAAGTATGATATCATCATGGTTGTGGAAAGTCCTCAGCTAGCAAACCGAGTCCTTGCGCCGGGAGCGAAATTGCTTGCTCCGGCGCATGGGATACGCAAAACCCCCAATTTAGCGGCCTCGGACCGGACCGGGCAGCGGTTTTAGGTGGACCGGGCAGGGCAGCTAAGTCCGAATACCCCTTCGCCCGCTGGTGTAAATTACCGCTACGGGGGAGTCTAGCCCGGGGGGAGGTTGGCTGGCCGGACCAACTAGGGCCAGCCAACTCCCCTCGGGCTCAACTCCCCGTAGCGGTAATTTAGGCAGGCGGGCGAAGGGCTCTCGGCTGCCGAAGGAAAACGGCTAACGGCCCGATACTAGTTTGGCATCCAGGGGAACTCACATCCAATCAGGGACCGGCGGCTTCTTCCTGTCGCCGATCCTTATCTAACAATGGGGCCTTGTAAACAACAAACATCTGGGCTCAGGGATAACAAAGCCAAGAATTTGCTCCACTAAAACCCCGCTTATCTACACAAGAAATCAGTCGCT